CTGTAACTTTACAATTGTCTTCAGTTTAGAAAATGGGCAATTTTTTATATTTGCACAATTATTTTTAAATGAGGTCAGTAATAAAAATTCTACTTTAAGGTGGTTGATGGATTTAGCCATATATACTGCTGCAGAAATCATTTGCCTTCTCCCTCACCTCTTCCATTTCTTTAAGATGATTAGAGGGAAAGCATTTTTCTCTATCCATTGTGTTTAAACCTTTCAAGAAGGTTATTTAGCCAACTTAGTGTTTAACTAAACTTTTGTTAAACAAGGCCAAGGTCGAATTCTGTTTTAAGATTCTGAAATTAAATGAAAATAATACTTCAGAAATTTAGTGTTTTTTTCTTGTAACAGCTATGTAAATTAGCTTGAATTCCACATGTCCCTGAGTTATTTTTATCATAAAGGCACCAATGTGTTATAACAAGGCAAATTTTAATACATATAATTCTTAACCCAGAATTACTGTCCACACAAGAGTACACAGGTTCAGGCTGCTGACACTTGGCCAAAGGTGGGTTATCTCCAGCTCAGATGGATTGGGAAAATGGAAAGGGAAGACAAGACAAAAGTCAAGGACAAGAGGAGGCTAACAAGACTGGTAACATTATAATTTAGTGTAAGTCATCTCTTCTGAGACAGCTGTTGCTGGGAAACTTCTCCAGTTGCCTCCTCAGTTCTTCCTGTAAGCATGTTGTGGCCCCCACACACTGGTGGGCCTTATTTGTCCCAGTTGGAGAGGATCCCAGGCAACCCAGGCAGCCTCCATCCATGGAATCCTCATCGAGTGCTCAGGAACCACCCCTTTTCTAAAGAGGAGCCCAAAGAAAAGACAGGTAATCTCTTGAAAACCTCAAAACCATGGAACAGGGATGAGTGTCATTCAAAGGTGTGACTGTGGACTTTACTCAAGAAGAGTGGCAGCACCTAGTTCCTGCTCAGCAGACTCTTTACATGGACATCATGTTGGAAAACTATTGGCACTTCATCTCTGTGCAGTGTCACACGACCAAGTCTGATATGATCCTCAAATTGGAATGAGGAGAAGAGCCATGGACACCATTTGTAGGTCACACTTTAGAAGAGAACCAGAAAACCAAAGACTTTTCAGTGAAATTCAAGGAACATAACGATAAATATTCTAGATCAATTGTATGCATCGACTATAAGAAACCAATTAAAGAGAAGAGTAACATATATGAAAAGTCAAAGTCAATCACTCTAGGCAAAAATTCTGATAATTCAAAAATCTTACCTCCTGAATGATATTCATGGAAAGATTTTGGAAAGTGTTTCAAAATCGATCATCAATAATCTAAGTCCAGAAAGAAAGAGACTCAGTGAGTATAACGGACATGGGAAATCACCCCTCAGTACAAAGCAAGAGAAAACTGATCCTCAAGTCAAATCCAATAATCAAAGTGTTAGGGCTTTCAGTCATAATGAAGGGCTTATACAGTATCAGAAGATGAGAACTCCAGTCAGTCATTTGGACATGATGCAGTGAGAAATAATTCCTTAAAACAGGAGGCTTAATTACAATTACACATAGCAGAGCATACAGAGGGGAAAAGCTCATCTGTGTACAATAAAAAGAGAAGAGCAACTAATATTAAAAATAATACATGCTCTGAATATGGGAAATCCTTTTGCAGGAAGTCAGTATTGATTCTACATCAGGGAATTTCCACAGAGGAAAACCCTTATCAGTGCCATCAATGTGGAAATGCATTTAGAAGGAAGTAATATCTCATTGATCACCAAAGAACTCACACAAGAGAGAAACCCTTTGTAGTGAATGTGGTAAGTCTTTTCCATTTAAAGACAGCCCTCACTGATCACCAGAGAACACATACAGGGGAGATAGCATATGAATGTTCCTAATGTAGGAATGCCTTCAGATTGAAGTCACACCTCAGTCAGAGACTACAGAAGAGAAACCGTATGAGAGCAATGAAGACCACACTGTCTCTACATCAGGGGATTCACACTGAGGAGAAACTCAAAATTTGTAAAGAATGTGGGAAGTCCTTTCACCAAAAGGCAAAGCTTACTGTCCAAAAGAGAACTCATACAGGGGAGAAGCCATATATTTGTAATGAATATGGGAAATCCTTCTCCCAAAAGACAACCCTTGCTCTTCATGAGAAAACTCTTAATGAGGAGAAACCTTACATTAGTAATGAATGTGGAAAGTCTTTCTGCCAAAAGACAACCCTTGTAGCAACACCAGAGACCACACACAGGAGAGAAATCTTATGAATGTCCTCAGTGTAGGAAGGCCTTTATAATGAAGTCATACCTCACTGATCACCACAGAACTCATACAGGGGGAAAACATATGAATGTAATGAACGTGGGAAGTCATTCAGTCAGAGGACAAATCTCATTCTACATCAGAGAATTCACATAGGGGAGAAACTCTGTATCTGTAATGTATGTGGGAAGTTCTTTTGCCAGAAAGCAATCCTCACTGTACATCAGAAAATACACACAGGGCAGAAATCCTATGAATGTCCTCAAAGTGGCAAAGTTTTTAGTAGGAAGTCATATCTCATTCATCATCAAAGAACAGACATGGGAGAGAAACCATATAAATGTAATGAATGTGGAAAGTGCTTCCACTAGAAGACCAATCTCATTGTACAGCAGAGAACTCACACAGGTGAGAAGTTTGCAATGAGTGTTTAAGTTCTTTCATTATAAGGTTAATGTCATTTTCCATCAGAGAACTCATAAAGCAGAAAAGATGGAAATGCAGTAAATTATTTGATTACTTTGTGAATTATTCCAAAGTTATTTTTAACTTTTAGGGTTTCTTAAAGAAAGCATGTTTTACATGTTTATGTAATTTTAATCACAAACATAATCCTGATTATTAAGTACCATATTACATAACTACTGTTTACTAGTGTATGAAATGGGTGTAATCATTGTTAGTGAACTCTTACCAGCTATGAACTATTTTTTAAAGTTTTAATTCATACTTTATTAAAAAATACATGCAGAGGCAAATTATAAAGTGGTTATAAGCATCAGTCTCTCTTGAAAAGAAAAAAAATATCTCTGAACTCTTCCTCATTGTACTCTGTGTAATAAAGAGTAGCTAGCTTTTCCTCCAAAGATTACCACTTCCCTGGCTTATAATGTCATAAAGTAGTTTTTTGCATGTTTTATATATGAACATACATCATGAATTGTGTCCTGCTTCACTCAACATTTTGAAGACTTGTGCATTATTGCATGTGGCCATAGTGTATTCATTTTAGTTTTGTAGGCTATTCCATTTTAAGAATAGATTAGATATTTATCCTTTTGCTGCATATTTGTTTTTTTATAATTTTCTGTTATAAAAATACTGCTGTCAGTATTTGTTTATAAAAAAAATCCTGAACTTATGACTCAGTTTTTTTCTTGAAAAGTGATGAAATTCAATGTAATATTAAAATTCAAATTTTCCTATTTATTGAGTAGAAAAATATCTTACTAATGAGTCATATACAATTTTAAAATGCATTATTTGGATATACTGTAATTCTTAATGGTTGTAAATTAGAAAAGCTGAGATTACATATGGTATGCCATTCCAGTTTTAAAGAATAGAATTACTGATGTTATAGGAATTTCAAGTCTATAGTGAACATTTGTATTTACTATGAGAAGTGGAGTGGATTAATGATGCATTCCATAAAGTATTGCTAATTATACTTCAGTGGAATCCATTCCTCATGTATTCCTGCAGATTTGGCCTGGAAATTATTTTTAAAAAATACCACTTTTATTATGTACAATAAAATGTTTCATGAGCTTGAAAAATAAACACACACGTGCTGGTGAGGATGTAAGGGAAAAGATACCCTAATCCACTTTTGGTGGGAATACAAACTAGTACAGCCATTGTGGAAGTCAGTGTGGAGATACCTTAGAAACCTGAAAAATAGATCTGCCGTAAGACCCAGCAATCCCATTACTAGGAATTTGCCTGAGGGAAATGAAATCAGCATATGAAAGATTTATCTTTACCCTCATGTTTATTGCAGTTCAATTCACAATAGCTAAGATATGGAATCTAACCAGATGTTCATCACCTGATGAATGGGTAAAGAAACTCTATGTATGTGTGTATATATATACATATATATACACACATACATACACACACACACACACACACACACACCATGGAATACTACTCAGCCTTAAAAAGAAACAAAATACTGTGTTTTGCAACAAAATGGGTTCAAATGTAAACCATTCTAATTAGTGAAATAAGTCAGTCCCCAAAAGACAAATACCAAAAATGTAATATATGGGAGTGAAAATTGATATCTGACCATTGATGATTACTAACAGCTCTCTACTACTAGGAACAGTGTCTTCTTGCTATTTGTTGAACTCTTAGTGTACGGTAAATATTTTGAGTATAAATAGACTGAAAGTAGATCAGTACACAAGTTAAGAGAGGGAATAGGAAAGGAAGGAGATGGAATGGTGGAGGCATGAGCAGAAGGGAGGGTAGGTGGGAAGCATCAGTATGTTCCTAAATCTGTGTACCTGGAATACAATAATTTTGTATACCTAAAATAAAATTTTAAAAATGAATTTAAAAAACTAAATGAAATACATTTTTGCAGCTTGCATTAAAACAGACAGAAATAATTATGAGTAGACAGAGATGTCTGAACCTTGAAGGTTTTATGGAGAAGAAGCAAGCTAAGAAAAGTAGCCAGCAGCAAATTCAGGTAATTTCTTTTGCAAAGAACAAGGATCCCAGAGGACATAGCAAATGCCACTCTCAGAGAGTCACAGACAAGCGCAGTTGAATTAACATGACATTACCAAACTGGCTGAAAATGTCACCACCACCACTATTTCTACAAAATACATACATATTTGGATTAAAAGTGTCCTATATGTTCCATGATGCAAGCGGTTGTATAGATCTACACATATGAAAACATACACATGCATATTTGACAACAAATAAAGAAAAATACCTCATAATCTCTTCCTTTGGTGCAATGTCTACCTCTTTTTTTTGGCAAAGGTGAATCAGCTGCATTTCATCTTGTAGTTTTTCTGCATTCTCTTGGCTTGAGAGAGAACTCTGGGGATTGTTTTCCTGTTCTCTCACCTAAAGACATATTTCATAAGTTGGTCATGTCATGGCTTTCAGGAAAAATAGTTTAACGGCTTATTTAAGAGTGACAATTTTTTAAAAATTCTGTTAAGAGGAAGCAACCTACCAAAGCTCCAGGGCCTGTATCTTACAGGAAATAATTAATTTTTAATTTCATGGAGCCAGTGTGGTGGCACAGTAGGTTAATCCTCCACCTGTAACACTGGCATCCCATATGGGTTTCAGTTCTAGTCCCAGCTGCTCCACTTCCCATCCAGCTCTTTGCTGTGGCCCAGGAAAGCACCAGAAGATGGCCCAAGTCCTTGGGTCCTTGCAACCATGTAGGAGACCTGGATGAAGTTCCTGGCTCCTGGCTTTGGACTGGCATAACTCTGGCTGTTGCAGCCATTTGGGGAGTGAACCAATGGAAGGAAGACCTCTCTCTCTGTCTCTCCCTCTCACTGTCTGCAACCCTACCTCTCAAATTAATAAATAAAATATTTTAAAAATTTAACAAAAAATGTCATGAATCACAGCTAAAGTCATCAAATAGCAAAAACAGTTCTCAAATTCAGGCAATGATGAAACTGTAAAATAAAGTTTCTTTACAAAACATTTAAATAATTTTATTATAATTTCACAGCTATTTAGCCTGAATTTTAATATAAACATGGCTAAATCAAGCTGTATGTGAATGGTTGAACTCAATTCACCTTTCATTGCTTTATAGAGAAAACATGCACTGAGTACCAGTAGGTGCCAAGCTCTACAATGAATAATTTTAGAAAACATATCATAATTTATTTTTAAAATAAATTTTAGATTGCTAACATACATATGTTATATATATATAATATATATATAGATGAAATGAAGGCAACATAATACTTAGTAATGATTAAATTTAGAAATGTAAATTTTTAGCAACAATTAATTTACCAGATTCAAATCATTTTTCAAAGTCCTCAATTCTGTTTTTATTATGCTAACCGTCAGTTCAAGATGTTTGTTCATCTCTACTTCTCTGCAATATTGCTCCTTGATTCTCCCTAACTGTTCCCTAGTTTTTTCATAGAACACATCAGCATTTATTCTGTTCTCTTATTCTTTTTTACCCTTATTTTTTATTTTAACTTTTATTTAATAAGTATGAATTTCCAAAGTACAGCTTTTGGATTACAGTGTTCCCCCCACTCCCCGTAACTTCCCTCCCACCCGCAACCCTCCCCTCTCCGGTTCCCTCTCCCATTCCATTGACATCAAGATTCTTTTTTTTTTTTTTTTTTTTTTTGACAGGCAGAGTGGATAGTGAGAGAGACAGGGAGAAAGGTCTTCCTTTACCGTTGGTTCACCCTCCAAAGGCCGCTCTGTGCTGATCCAAAGCCAGGAGCCAGATGCTTCTCCTGGTCTCCCATGCAGGTGCAGGGCCCAAGGACTTGGGCCATCCTCCACTGCACTCTCGGGCCACAGCAGAGAGCTGGACTGGAAGAGGGGCAACCGGGACAGGATCTGGTGCCCCTACCGGGACTAGAACCCGGTGTGCCGGCGCCGCAGGCAGAGGATTAGCCTATTGAGCCACAGCGCCGGCCAAGATTCATTTTCAATGAATTTTATATACAGAAGAACCATTTTATATACAGAAGATCAATTTAGTATATATTAACTGAAGATTTCAACAGTTTGCACCCACACAGAAACACAAAGTGTAACATACTGTTTGAGTATTAGTTATAGCATTAATTCACATTGTACAACACATTAAGGACATGGATTCCCACATGGGGAGTAAGTGCACAGTGACTCCTGTTGTTGACTTATCTGTTCTCTTATTCTTAAGGTAAAAATCCTTATCTTAGTATTCATTTTGTTAGAAAAGAAAATGTTCATTTTGTAATTTGGCTCCTATTAAGAAGCTTATATATTCTAATACATTTTTATATCAAATATTTTTCTTTGTAATTATTATGTTTCTTATGTCTCACTTCAATCTCTTCTTCAAAAGACAGATATGCTTGAAAGAACACTTTGATAAATGGTAAATTTGTTATCAGTACCTCTGATAAATATTATACAAAAGCAATTTTGAAATTATCCAGTAAAATTAAAAGTTAAAAATTGCCTTTTCTTTGCATAGTCCTAATTACCATCAATTAGGAAAGACAGTTAACTAATCACTAATAAGTTATGATTTATAAACATACATGTAATTATTAGAAATACAATAGAGGTTGTTTTTTCTATGCATGAAAAGGTTTTGGAAAACTAATCAGTAATCACGTCCCCTCATTCTCACTCTATATGCGTTAAGAATAAACCAATAGGAGTCAAAAACCATTCTAGGTTGGGAAAAAATAGATATCACATGTTCTGGTGGAATTATAAATTAATATTAATTTTGAGAGCCATTTAGAAAATTAGTCAGATGTTTTAAAAGCTTCTTAGAATTTAACCCATTAATTTATATTGAAGCATTTTTTTTTCAATGTAAAATACTTGGACATGTAAAGAAACATTTTTCTTGCATATGACCCCCAAATCACAGGCAATAAAACCAAAACTAGAAAAAATGGGATTATATCAAACTCAGAAGCTTCTGTACATCAACTGAAAGAAAAAACAGAGTGAAGAGACATCCAAAACAATGGGAAATATTTGTAAGCTACCTATCCAGGATATAAAAAAAAATTCAATGATAGGAAAATAATCAATCCAGTAAAGAAATGGGCAAAAGAAGGACCTCACCAGAAAGTTCTCAAAAGAAGAAACAAAAATGGCAAACAACTATGAGAAACAATGTTCAAAATTATCAGGCATCAGGGAAATGCAAATCAAAACCACAATAACATACTACCTCACCCCTGATAGAACAGCTATTTTCCACAAGACAAAGAGTAACAAATGCTGGCGAGGATATGGAGAAAGGGGAACTCTTATACACTGTGGAATGCAAAGTAGTGCAAAAACTGTAAAACTGGCAATATCATAAAAACCTAGAAATAGATTTACCATATGACCCAGCATTCCCACCATTGGGCATATATCCAAGACATGAACACAATGTATCCAAGAAATACCTGTACCAACATTATTTAGGGCAGCACTGTTCACAAAAGGTAAGATAGGGAACCAACCAAGGTATCTGTCATCAGAAAAATAGATGAAGAAAATGTGATACACACACACACACACACACACAATGGATTATTATTCAGATAGAAAAATAATGAAATTCTATCTTTGCATCAAAATGGTTACAACTGGAGGACATCATGTTGAGAGAAATAAACCAACACCAAAAGATAAATACTGCATGTTCTCCCTTTTATGTGGGAGCTAAAATTTAAAAAAAAAAGAAGAAATTCTTGCTGTACCAGTTTCAATGCAAATACAATGTCTTGTCCAAAAATGTAAAAAGAAATATTTACACAATGTTTGTTGCAGCATTTTTATAATACTAAAAAATTAAAATAATCCAACATTCAAATTTATAAAAATCAAATTTCCATAGCATACACTACCATACCACCATTAAAATTATAATTTGCAAGAATATAGTTAATTATTAGAAGTAATAACATTAAAGAACTTGCCATATGATTTAAAAGGATTTCATATTTCACAAGAGAAAGTTTTGTGCCCATAAATTCCTAGAAAGTATGCAAACAATTCAAAATGTCCCTGCATATTTGCTGTATAAGGCTCTCTCTTTATGTCTCTCAAATAAAAAAATTTAAAAGATTCGGGCCTGCGCCATGGCTCACTAGGCTAATCCTCTGCCTTGTGGTGCTGGCACACCAGGTTCTAGCCCCGGTCGGGGTGCCGGATTCTGTCCCAGTTGCCGCTCTTCCAGGCCAGCTCTCTGCTATGCCCCAGGAGTGCAGTGGAGGATGGCCCAAGTCCTTGGGCCCTGCACCCGCATGGGAGACCAGGAGAAGCACCTGGTTCTTGGCTTCAGATCAGCACGGAGCAGCCATTGGAGGGTGAACCAATGGCAAAAGGAAGAACTTTCTCTCTGTCTCTCTATGTCCACTCTGCCTGTCAAAAAAAATTTTTAAAGATTCTATATCTAAACTACTTATTTCTTTAATTTTTAATTTTAGAGATAACATTTTACATATATTATGTTCCAAGACTTAATGGTCCCACTAAATAAAAAAATTCAACAATTACAAAGTAAAACTAGGACTGGCACTGTGGTGCAGTGCCCATCCCATAGAGGTGCCAATTTTTTTTTCATGTTTTCAATAACTTTATTTTAGAAAAACAAAGATTTACAAGTGGTGTCATGAATTCAACAAGTTAGTAATACAAACTTTCAAAATCTTTATAGATTAACCTGAAGCAGAAAATTAATTTTTTGCCCACTCTTGGACTCAGACACATTCAGAAAAAAAATATATATTTATAAAAATAAAACAGTAAACTTAATCCCACCAATTACGTGACAGTCTTAACATCTCATGTTGGCTTATATAACAATTTCAGTGTAAGAATAGCTGAGCAGTTCCCCTCCCCCTCAGTCTTACCTCCACATCATATGATTCAATGATGAAAATTTACCTTTTCCAAAACCAAAACCCAAAAAGAGCCCCCAAACAAAATACAAGAAATATTATTAACAACTAAGTCTAGTAAACAAAAGCAGCACAGCTAGATGTTATCCTCCTCTTTCCTTCAAACTCTACACATTTGGCATCTTTGTTATTTCTATACCAGATACTATGAAATACTACGTGTGAGGAGAAAAACGAAAATTCCAGGTATAATATACCTCAAACATGTTTTGGATAACAATAGCTACAGAATATTTATTTATACAATGAAACAAAAAGACTGCAAGGTGTAATGGGTACAGAGTACTTGGGAAAAAATGCACTTTCTCTTTGAAATACCCTTAAATATTATATGAGCACCAGATTCACCAACAGCAAGGGCCCAGAATTCTGAATTTTAAAGTTAGAAATGGAACTTCATTGCAACCAAAATGGCAAAAATTCCAGATTCCAAAGTGATGG